ATTAGTAACAAATTTGGGAGATACCATTGTACGGTCTAAAATTTGAAACTTGGAAATTTCTAATCCAAAAAAACCTATAGAACGATCTTAATTTCAGCGAACTTGAGGTGTGGTTGGGAACTTTTAATGTTCTGGGATTGTTATTTTTATCTCTGGAAAACCGTGAGATATCGAGGATAAGTTTTCCCATTTCTTTTCTCCGATCATCATTAGAATCCCCTTAAGCGTCAGTGGATCGAGGGTTTCGGAATGAAATATGTACGCGAAGCGATGCAATTGACGTTCACCGCCGCAAAACCGTGTGCAACGACGCGACACTGAATTGTGGCCAATCGACGGTCCGACGTTGAAAAGAGAGCCAAGGGGGGCTGGTGGTGGAGAGAGAAAGTGCTTTGGACAAAGAGAGCACTGGAGGTCAAAGGGGATGAACTCTTGAGGAGGGGCGGGGAAGACAAGGGAGGAAAAAGAGAAACAAAAGGTTGACAACGAATTTCTAATGGTTGGAAAGAACAATACACAAAGTCAAAGGAATGTTAAATAAACCGTAAATATTTCTTGTGGTCCAGTAAATTGTAAAAACATAAAATGGTACTTCCTGATCCCATTGGAATCGTTAACATTTGAAGTCACTTCTTTAGTCATACTTTACAGTCAGAGTTACTCTAGATCTAGAACTAATACAGACCTTTAATTACTCTGAACCTTAATAAATACGGTTGTTCTGGTAGAAATTTGTCGACTGTAGAATGGTATTCTTGGTACCTAATAGTAGTCCCGTAACTACTCTTAATTTGTATTATATGCTGGAAGGGAATTTTTCAGCCTTAAGGTTTCCGGTGGTACCCAATAACGCAATTAATAATCAGTCAAAAACTTTACAAATATAGACATTCTGACAACAAAATTTTTGGACCATAGAATGACATCTGTGGTATCTAGAAGGCCATAGCAGGACCTAGTAGTACCTAATAGCACCTAGTAGTGCCTAGTTGGCCATAGTAGGTCCTAGTAAGACGTAGCAGTAGCTAATAGTACCTAGTAGTGCCTAGTAGTGCCTAGTAGTGCCTAGTAGTGCCTAATAGTGCCTAGTAGTATCCAATAATATCCAATAGTATCTAATAATATCTAATAGTATCCAATAGTATCTAACAGTATCTAATAGTATCTAGTAGTATCTAGTAGTATCTAGTAGTATCTAGTAGTATCTAGTAGTATCTAGTAGTATCTAGTAGTATCTAGTAGTATCTAGTAGTATCTAATAGTATCTAATAGTATGTAATAGTATCTAATAGTATTTAATAGTACAGAAAATTTTCGCATGACAGAATGGTACCTATGGAACCTAATAGCACCACAAATGGATCCTAAGGAAGGTTAGGTATCTATTCCTATGAACGTAATATCCATAACATACACCTCTCAATTACACTGTTCTCTGATTTCCACGTGACCGGTAGCCTCGGTTAAAACAAACGGACCATTTCATCTGCTCCGTCTCTTTTCTGTCGGTTTCGTGGAGGACATACATACCAGTAGGGGATCGTGGACATCCGAGCAAACATTTAATTCGCGATTACATTATTTTCCAAGGGGGTGAGGAGCGTAAAGAAGAGGGAGTAGCAGGAAGGGGGGAGGCGAGCACACCCTGTCAGCACCAGTTCGTTCGGATACACATACAAGCGCCACCGAACAACGGGGGTACCATTCCCAACCCCTCGATAATAGAGATTTCACGCCGCGGGCCCCACTTCGGTTCTCACAGTAGGGGTTCTCGGATCGAAACGATCAATTATTGTCCAGAGAACGTGTGGTCAGGACTCATTGCATAAAGGGACAACACATAACCTGGCCGGTCGACGCGAAGAGTCGCGTGCCTCTAAGTATCTGTTTATAGTCCCTGGGGATCAATTTGTTTGCTAAATTATTTATTGGTCAAATATGCTGACGAGCCACGGTTTTCACCTTACAGCCCGCGAAACTGTTTGATCTGTGGTTTGGGAAAAGCAAACCGTAGGAACTGCACCGATTGTCTGAAGGCTTCTTTTATTTTTTTTTATATGGAACGTTTGTGGGCTGACGTGATGCGATGTGAAGGAAGAGAATAAAGATTGGCAGAACATTCATTTGGGTAATAGATGATAATTGATAGATGGAAAAGGACACCTAATGTTAGGAATAGAGTATCGAATCTGCTACAGTGAGTGTAGAATGGATGAAATATTGAATGGTACCGGTGATACCTAAGAATATTCAACGAGACTTAGCAATAGGTAACTAAACCGAGTCCGTGGGGATTTTCCCCCACGAAAAACAAGACCTAACAATACTTAACAGTAGCTAATAGTACTTAAATCGTACATAATAGTGTCTAATAGTGCCTAATCGTACTTAATAGTACTTATAATACTTACATAGTACTAAAATGGAGTGTAGATTATTTTTAATTTATTGTTAATGTTTAATACAGGATAAATTGCTACAATAACCTCGAGTTTTTTTTTTTAAAGATCGTGAAATCTGCATCGAATTTATCGATGGACTGTTTAGCAAACAAGGACGGGGGAGAATCACAGATTCTGGAACCCGATCTCGGTCACCCAACATCGCGTCCCCCGGTACGTGACAAATTGAGATAAATAATCGTTTTGCGGGGACACAATACCCTCTTGAAATTTGTCACAGCGATACTCGAAACGGCACGCTCCGGGACGTTCGCGTACTGATACTCGTAAAACCGATACTCGAGTCGCATCTGGTCTACGTCCTTCTATTTTGTTATCAGCGATCCTCGACGGATTTTTTTTTATCAATTTAACGATGATTCAACATACAAAAATCATTCCTTCCTCCACATGCAACTGTGAGAAACTTCTGCTTATCATTGTATAATAATTAATTATTTAACTTTTTTTTATTACTTGTTTTAGTACCCCAATATTTTAATGTCATGATAGAATTCAGTGGAAATTAATTTCGGGGTCTCGGTACAGTTTAATAGTTAAAACCAGTATAATTATTGGAAATTTACAATTTATATTATCTATTTTTACCATTTTCATATTTCCATTGAAAAGTGAATATGACTAACTTATTCCTCGTTTTAACGTATCACAAACTGCTCACTGGTATCTTGAAAACACCCCTAAAAGATTAATGTCTTCTCCTATTCTCCTCGTATCTTGAAAACACTAGTAGATACAAAAAAATTGTTGTAACAAAAATTCAATAACTTCTTATATTCCATAAAACTCTGCAACGAACTTATTAAAAATTTACTTATTTATTAATTTATTTGTTTAAACAACGAACTTTCAATAATTTCATTACCCAATAGTACAGAGCATAAGAATCCATTAAACTTTTGTTCCAACAAATTTTTTACATCTCCTATAATCTTCAAGATATACAGAAAACTATGAAAACCCAAATAAACCTCCAAGGGGTATATTCACCCCCGAGGAGCCGAACAGTATCAAACGAACAAAATTGCCCGATTGTTCTATCAAAATCACTCACAAATCTGCAAAAAAAAAAAAAATGGAAATATTCGTCTGACCTTGTCAGTTGGCGTTAAGTGGTCCACAGAAGCTGACAGCCTGAGAAAGAGGTGAATCGTTCGTCGATGAAGAGGAAGCAACCGGGCACGATCCCCTTTATCACCGATCGGGCTTCCCAGAGAGACAGAGAGAGATATGAATGGGCCAATATTCAAATGAGACGTGTTTAGGCGGACGCACAATGAGAAACGCGGCGGCGTCGGTGGCGACGCAATTATGCAAGGTGTTAATACGATCACAATGGCGGTGGTGGTTGGTTCGATAGGGTTGGTTGTGTACCTGGCAAAACCGGCGAAAGTTTTGTCGCCCGTCGTCTGGCCCCCTCCGACCCCTACTACCCCGATGGAAAACGAGTTTCTAGTCGTCGACACGGAATCCCTGAACCGGGATTACTATTGTCGACCACCGATACGTCCGCGGCGCATAATTGGGATTATGTCCCTGTGGAACCTATGAGAACACGCCTTGAACTAGAGAGAGAACGGTGGAACGGATTTCACGATCAATTTGCATATTTCGATGTTATCCCCGGGGGTCAAATTGAATTTTATTCAGTGGATCATCGATTGAATATTACTGGAGAGTCTGTAATACTTAGACAGACACTGTTGTTTTAATTTTTCGAGCCGAAATGTAAGTCAAGGAAATGGTGTTTAGACAGTAGTAAAAATGATTCCAGAACATGTAGTGAGAATATTTCCAAATACTGTATGATTTTAAATATTTTTCCTAAATTAACTACGTGTACTATCCATTTTGAAAAATGACAGTGACATTAATGTAATAAATTCTGTCTTTTGTTTAGTACAATATATAAAAAAATTTCTGCCATATTGCATATTATAGGTATTCTTTACTATTAATACTATCTCAATTTTCATATTAATTGCTATTACAATTTACCGATGGATTTTGATAAATTTTAACTATATTCTATTATTTACCAAGAATTTTCCCTAAATTGAAAAAAATTCAAACCAAATATCAAGCATTACTTTCATCCGTAAACACCAACAATAAAAAGAAAAACTAATAATAAACAATAATATAAGAACGTCAAGCAAAATAACATAAAACCGTAGTTATATCAGTCCTTCACAAGTTGAAGTTGAAATGGCAGTTGCAATAATTATCATTAGATTATAGAATAAATTTATTATCTACCTCTACTCCAACGATCTACACCTTCTCTTCTATTTACCAAGAATTTTCCCCAAATTGAAAAAACATTCAAACCAAATATCAAGCATTACTTCCATCCGAAAACACCAACAATAAAAATAAAAACTAATAATAAACAATAATATAAGAACATCAAGTAACATAACACAAAACCTGCACACGAAGAATTCACCTGAAACGTGTCAGCCCCTCCAGCCCATAATTCAAATTATATCCCCGAATAATTATTCCATACCCCGTAGTCCACAGATTCAAGAAGAAATCTCGTCACTCCAGCTCGAAAAGTCGACCTTCCCGTCTCCGTGTGTTCCATCCAGCACCGAATCGAAACTCCTCCTTCCTCCTTCGGACAATTTTCCCCGAAGTGGTGTGAGGGTGGGTTAGGGTGAACGATGGAAATAAAATTTCACTCGGGCAGTAACAATGAACCGCAGGAACTTTCGGACATGAATCGCTCGTTATCCACGGGGACCAATCACGTTCACGTCTGACGTTCACCCAGAGCCCTAGACGGGCCTCCGATTGGACGTAATCTCCGCCCAGGGGTTGTATCGATCATCCCCCTAACGCGACACTCGCGTAGGGGTATATAAACCAGCCTCCCCAGGGACACGGACGATAGTCGGAGTTCTTCCTATTTCCCGTGCTGACCCCTCCAGTCTCCTAACCCAACAGTCAGGTGATCCTCGAGCACCATACCCTAAACTAGTTAGCACTGATAAAATCGAGAAAGAGGATTATATTACGGAGGTATTGATTCGGGTTAAAGTGACGTTTTAGGGGTCTTGATCGACCTGTGATTCGATCGTCGAAGGAACAGTGAAGTGATTAATGACCTGGTGAAAAAGGGGACTGGAGGTATGGCGAGCCATTCGAGTTACGAGTATGAGGATAGAGGACAGAGGATGAGGCACAGGGTCGGGACCACGTCCAGACCGGCTGATTCCACTGTCGCCTGTACCAGGTCAGTGATTAGATTATTTATCTTGGGAATTTTTAATCTTTAATCGAAAGGTATATTCAGGAAACTTTTGTTCCAGTAGTCAGTACTATGTGGGACCCAGCAGCGACATCAGCGAGGAGGACCTGGCGGAATTGCCCTCTTGTGTCTACGCTGGAAGATCATCGCAACACGTTCCGCATACTTCTTCGCACACCCATTCTCCACTGCACTATCATATGCCAGTTTCTACACCTGGTAATTGTAATAACTAGACTGCGGATTTTTATGCAAATTACATTTTCTTAAGTCAATTTTTACGAAGACAGCAAAGGTAGGAATTTATTTCTTTTCTTAAATATCTTATTGGTGTAAGAATGAAGTAGAAAATATTTAGAATTCTCTTTGGTGTTATACAAAGACCTATTGGCTATAAATGCATAAAATCCGCAGTCTAGTAATAACATTACTATAATGTCTCCCTGGTCCTTTGAATAGTCGAGAAAACGATATCTAGAGATTTAGAAAATAGTAGAATTGAGACCATAATTTGAGGTACAAGTTATTTTTTAAATGACTTGTTCTATATGTACAGTGAATTCGCAATACAAGCTCGTAAAAATCTCTAGTTAAATGGTGTCTGCTTCGTCTCCACTGCTGCTTTGAATTTTTCTCAGGCGACGGTAAAATACAAGAGGTTGAATAATAGACCTGGAAATAATAGGAAATAGTGTCCCTCTACGATAAGTGTTCGAAAGCAGTCCCCGAGCGTTAATCAAAGATTCACTCTAATTCAAATTATTAAGCTTCTTTCTGCCTGTCACAGATCACAATGACACGGAAATAAACGGTGTGGAGGAGGGTTACTATCCAAATGGCAGTCCTTACAGAATCCAACGGCACGCTGCGAACATTAGAGAGAGGAAACGTATGCTCAGGTGAGAAATTATTCTTAATATCGTTCTTAACATGTTCACATGATCCCTAATTAACACACTCGAGGAATACAATATCATCGTTTCTATAGCCGATGATCCAACGTGTGAATGAACGATAGGAAAAAATGTTTCACATAAAAGTTTTAGGGTTTAAATAGAGACATCTTATGGTGACCTTGATCATGAGATGGGGTCTAATTTCGTGGTCATTCTGAGGTCAACTCTATTTTTTAAATGGGAACCCCTATTTGTAGCACTGGATATTTCCCATTTCTGGTGTTAAAAATAAAGAATAAGGGTTAAACATTGGTAAGATTGAAGGGTTAAAAATTTATTAAAGGATAAATTTCCATTTTTGAAGATTTAGGTAATTTTATTCTATGCTTTTTTACAAAAATTTGTCCCCCTCCGGTATTCAACGAAGGTGCCCCAAGATGTGATAGCCCCGGGGCCCAAAAATCTTAATCCAGGCCTGGTTTCGAATCTGTTAATTTAAATTAAATAATATTAATATAATTACAAATGTTGTTTGATATATCGATGAATCTGATAATAGTAATTTAAATGATTTTTGTATAATAGTTATTACAGTTGGTATAATAATTATTGATCAGTTGAAAGAAGAAAGTGATTGGTGAAAACGAAGCTTAAGGAGAGCCTCATTTAGCAAGTAAACAGGTTGTCAGTTTGATTACGATTTTTAGCAGCATCAACTCGGCTTTCGACGAGCTCCGAGTCCACGTACCAACGTTCCCGTACGAGAAGAGGCTGTCGAAGATTGACACCCTCCGTCTGGCCATAGCATACATCGCGCTACTGCGAGAGGTGCTGGCCGCGAGGCTCGATCCGTTGACGTACGTCGAGAGGTGCCTTAGAGGGGAAATAAACGGGGAACGCGCTGAATGGAACACAAGCGGTCAGTAGCCAATAACATAAAATCCTGTTTTAATAAAAAAAAAAACAGGTGAAAAACACCAATCCTTATCCCTCCTACTTTCATGGAAACGAAATTTCCGGTTTGAATAGGTTAAAATGCACTAAAGAAATAAAAAATAATTTTTGTAGCTATCACAACATTTCCTGTGGGACTAAAAATAAAATCGTGGGACGCTCACAAAAGAATTATATTGCTTGGTAATCCATTATGGGCGCGCCACAATTTTATTTTTAGTGACACATGACCAAAAGTGTTGTGACAGCTATAAAAATTTATAGAAAACAATATAAAAAAATTATTATAATTAAAAATATATTATATTTTAGTGCATTTTTATATATTTATTTATCTTCTATTTAATTTTTTTTTGTTTACATGTCCATATAGAATTACGTGAAGATTTTGTCTGTGACTAGTGAGATTTTAATTGATCTCCCACTTCTTGATTATTGTCGCGCGTGCGTAAATAGGTTAGGTCAAGAAGTAATGGCATTGGAGTATCTAATTGGACTATAAATAGACGAGAGTTTTTCGATTACCATAAGTACCAAGAATCTGATTTTAATTGTTTTACTAGAAAATCGTACATTATCGTTGCAGATCTTACGGCGCGTTTGTCGTGGATAAACTGGGAGAACCTTGGAGTGAATCCGAACAGACGATCGGTGTTGACTACCCTGGCCCTGACTACGGACAATATGAACTGAGGGAATCGATCTATGGCTAGATCAGGATATACAGAATTTCTCGTTTTCTTTTTGTAAATAATAATCTGCCGCCGCAGGAATAGAGTGCCAAAGGACATTTTATGTATACATATTTGATTGTTGTACATTTCAGTTCTCTAGTCATCTATATATGTGCAATACGAGCGACGATATTATATTTCGTATTTCTATATATACACAGACACACACACTAAATGCAATACACGCGTGTACATGTACAACAGAATAGCGATTCTAGTTTTAGTATTTTGTTTGGAATAAAAATCAGCGCTCGCGAGGCCGCCATAACGCCGTCGAGTTTCATTCAATCGGCTTCCGTGTTGAACGCCACTTATTGTTTATGCAATCCCTTTTTTTCCATTGGACACGTGGAGTACAGAACGACCTGGTTCAAGGTCATATCTTCTAAATCATCCAATATTTATTTACGGGTAAAATTAATGCAACGAGTTATAACGTTAAATTTCACGACAAATCACGTTCAATAGTCTTCTTAGTTGCTCACTTGATGAATAACTTCCCCCACGAGTTCTGGAAATTTGTTAAATAACAAAGATAACTATTTCTATATAAATAATTCCCTTAACCCTCATCCGTCCCTCGTTTTCCCAACCTAATTTCTCCCACGACGTCAAATGAAGTGGCGAAAAATTGATACAGAGATAAATACAGTTAAACGCGCAAATTGTTTGAAATAAATATCACGGAGACTCAGCTAAACTTACTTACAATCGATACAAGAGGCGGATCACAGTTAAAACAGCAAGGTTGTGAGAATAAGCAAGACGTAGGTATAATTAATAAAAAAAAAATAGGCATATTTTCAACTATACTTACGTGTTAGACTCCCGTTGCAAGAAAAATTCAAGTGATCCAGCATGCTGTAAGATACAGTCGCATGACGTTGTCGTCGAACCATGAATTGATAGATGACACCGTTGTTCCCCCCCATTCCGAACGCAAGAAACAAAAGCTACGGGGGTCGCGTCTCTGGCGCAGCGTGTCAGTCACATGTCCATGCGTAATCGTGTCTCCGCAAAAGAAACCTTGTCTCCGCTGCAAGTGTGTCTCTGAAAAAGCTCAAGACCCAGAAAATTATCGATTCTCAAGTTCCACGGATCTGCCATCGAGAATACTGCGGTAAATTTAATCGAGGGGGCACGTAAACAGTAGTTCATTGTCCCCGGATGTTTTTGGTAACCAAGAAAAGGTAAATGGAGGACTCGAGAAGACAGAATCTCAAGGAGGACGATGACGTCAGTGTGATCGCGATAATAGGAAAAGAAAAAAATCGAACTACGACGCAACGGGAAATCGTGGAGTCAGATATGACGGAGGATCGGTTGCAGGAAGATCCACGAATGTTCGAGTTAGGCGATGAACGGTCGAAGATGGCACTCCGGAAACGGCTGGACCTAGAGCCGTTATCGACGGAGCAGCAGGAGTCGACGACGGATTACAAAGGGATCGAGATTTTGCAGAAACTTCCCCCGGGAACGATCGAGATCAAGCAGGATAAAAAGTACAAGGACGACAGCGATTACGTGAGAGATTCCACGGAGAGCAGTAGCGGAGGTTCTACTTCCGGTGCAACCACGAAACTAAGGAGAGTTCATCGAGCGACGAGAAAGAAGTGAGTGGATCGAAAATTGGGGGAGTAATGTAACAAGATATTTCAAGCGAACATTAGTTCATTATGGAATAATTTCACACGATACAGAAGTATTTTTATCTCGCATACGTGCAGATTTTCTAGAGCTCGTTGTTACCGTATGTCGGTAACTTACTATTTGATGTTCATTTCTTCGGGATTCGTACATCGTGGATGGACGAAATTTAAATTTGAAAGTTTTCGGATTCTGAAACCTCTGAATTGTATTTAATTAAAACTTACTAGTTTTGTTGGAAATATTTTTCAGTCGTGGGACAGGAGAGATTCGAAGGAATCCAATACGTGTGACAAAGAAAGATCCAGACAAGGATTTTCCCAGACCAAGGAAGCAATTGCTCTCAGCGAAGAGGAAAGGATCATTCTTTGATCTGGAGCCCAGCAAACGAGGAAGGTCTTCTACAATGCCTTACATGAATACACGATCTGTCACACGAAAAATGTACAATGTAGGGGCCACTTATCAAGCGCCAACAGTAAGGGATGAAATGGAATGGAAAGAATGGCCAGTGCATGGAATGCACGAAAGACCAGTCTTTCATCCCGAGGTGAGATTTTTATTTCACCATATTTGGACTGTGTGATTGCAACCAATTTATTATTCAAACGACATCTATGGAAATTTTCCAGGTGGGTTTAGCCGCAGAATACTTGGGTCGTTACTACACTAGCCTTAATGGACTTTCTTATCGCGAGATAGTAGATCGTCCTGAAATAGAAGTAGTATCTGTAGATCCTCACTGTGATTTCCTCCCGTCATCTGGCGAAAAGAAACGATACAAAAACACGAGGACCAACCGAAACGTTTCGAACGCTACAAACGCAAAAGCATCTTCTTCTGGAAGGCATAAATCCTTTCAGAGCTGTATGCACGAAAGTTTCCATTCTGTCCTCGGTTATTGTTCGCAGGTGATGACCTCCACCTACAAAACCAACATAGGGGATAAGATCAAAAAGTTAAATGAGAAGAAAAATTTGTTCAGCATCGCCAAAGAGCCAGAGAAGCAATTTGTTGCGATTACCGCAGAGTCAATCATGAAGAACGAGCTGTCCATCACATGTAAAGAGAATTCCCAGAAACCAGTGGAAACGAACAAAATGTTGGACAACTATCCTGTGACTATGATGTCCCAGAACATTAAGACATTTAATCAAGTGCCAAAAACGCGATTGTTCCCCGCGCAAAAAGTGTACGTAGCCAATTCTCAAAGGTCTATTGCCTTCACCAACCTGAAGACCTTTCAGGGCAGGCAAATGAAGATACAGGACATGGTACGACCTTCGAACAATCCTCTGATACTGGTGAATACCTCAGAATCGAAGGATGCTCAGATTTTGAGACCCCTGCCTAACAACATGAATCTAATAAAACTGGAGGACACTGTCAGTAATGAGTCTTTGTTCGATATACCTTCGGTGTGCAAGAACGCGATCCCCAGCGACGACCAGCCAGAGAGTTCGAAGGCGAAACAAGCTACCATGAAACGTGGAAACAAAGTGGAGTTTACAGTCACGAAGTATCTTCTCGACAGCTCGCAGCAAACCAAAAACCAGGTGGCAAAAGAGATGACCAGTAGTGAAACAAAGCTATCCTGCGATACTGCCAGTAAGGATGTAAATACAAAGACAGTGCCCGATGGTCTGACCAAGACTTGGTGCACCAATGACGCGTCTGAGATCGCGAAAATCCTGTCCGAATACAACAAGAGTAGTACGAAGAAACCAGCTATTGGAAACCAAGGATTCTACACCAATTTGAAAAACATGAGGGTGAAGACAGTGTCCAATAAAGATGAGGGTACGAAACAGTGTGCTCAGGAGAACAGTTTGGAGAGAAATGTGAACGTGACGTTTCCTCAGGGCAAGTGGAGACGATTCCATTTTACAGTAGAGAAGATGAAAGACATAAAGGGAGGCTTGAATGAAAAAAAGCTCCTGTCAGCAGTGTCCAACAGACAGTCATTGTTCAAGATTGATCAAGCGACTGTGGACTCTACGTCAGAGAAAAAGACTGAAGATTTGAAACACTTGGAACCAGCTCAAAAGTCACAATCAAGTGCAACGAACGTGGAAAGAAAGGAAAATATCTCAATGAACAATGTAGTAGATGCAACAGCGATGAAAACTCATTCGTTGCAAGAACTGTTAGAAAATACAGCGATCCTATACTGTGCAGCTACTGGAAGTCACCAGGATGACCTGGCTAACTACATCGACAGTCTGGATGCTGCTCAGAGCATAGAATGGCTGGAAACGTGCAAAAATTTGACTATCCAGTAGTTCTGCAACTCAGACCCAAAAGACCGTTCGGAATTTTATACACATTTCTTTTGTAATCGTTACACTTCATATATTTCTTATAGGTTAATTAAGAAAACACGTTAGCTTCATTCAATTCTTTATTTAAGAGGATCTAAGAGCAGAAACATAGTACAAATATCTCTAATTAATCATTTCACCGGTTAGAAATACGAGTGGCTATATTAAAATAGTATCTTATATTAATATTCTTTCGTTTCATATTTAACTACTCTTTATATTCAATCCATTCGGATGTTGTACTTGCCTAAGCAAGACTTCTAAATAATATTTACCGTTTTGTGCTCTTGAAATACATTACCTTTTTGCACTTTGAGTATGATTTTGCCAGACAATGATCACGGACTTACACCTGGGGCTGAAACCTGAAGTCCAAGTTCTCTTGATTGCATAGAAATGAAGTGGAAACTAGCTTAGTCAGTGTGAAATGTTCCCTTCACTCTCGTAGTCAACACCATACCGTTGTTAATACCCGCGTGTATGAAGAGTATACAAGTGATCATGATCGCGGAATAGACAAACATCAATGCAACTATACCGAGGCTTCGTTGTCAGTCCCTGTTCTGTCTTCGTTTCCTGTGGGCATACCTGTAAGGATATTCCAAACATTTAGCAACACAACTGTTACTTCTACTTGTTTACTGCTTGAAAATGTCATTAATATCGTCTCAACAAAGCATAAACCACAACTGCATTTGGTATCATACACATATATTCACCTCTTTTCTTCAGATTCTGTTTCACTACCCTCACTAATAGTCTTATCTGCCACCTCTTCAGTCGTGGACTCGTCCTCACTGTCTTCCTTGGTCTTCCTGCTTTTACTGGAACTCTTGCTGGAATCATCGTTCCTGGCCTTGGACTTGCCACTGTCAGAATACTTCTTGTCGCCTTTCTCTGATGACTTCCTGTCAAGTTTCCTCTTGCGTCTCTCATCATCAGAGGTAGCTTCGTGCTTGGCCTCCTCTCTGCGTGAAGATCTTTTGCTCTTCTGAGATTTACTGTGCCTGCCAGAGTTGCGCGAACTGGATGTGGAGTACCCGGTGTCCTGTCTGGCCTTCCTACTTGGTTTTAACAGACAGAAAAATTCATAAGAAAATTTTAACTACACTTCCATACATTCTAATTTATATTTTAAGAACAGTGATGCACACCGTTTGGAACGACCAGTGTTTCTAGGGGAGGAATCAAATTTGTCAGTTTCCTCTGTGGTCTCCTCACTCTCCGAATAGTGAGCCTCCACATCCTTGTCCCTCCTCCTCTTCTTCTTTCTCTCCTCGCACATTTTTCTACTCCTGACATCCTTATACACGTCTCCCCTCGATATGATGCTAATGTTAGCCACCTCTGGCTTCTTTTTCTTGCTTTTGTTCTCCGTTTGCACCACGTACAGCCTGTAGAGCTGCAGCAGTATTACCAGAGTGTTCTTGCAGGTGAAGAAAATGTTCATGTAGCTGACTATACGGTAGTGGGTGATCAGGATCAGTCGAAAGGCAAGAAACGGACCATCCTGGAATGACAAGAAAAGGATAAAGGCGTTTCCAAGTGGTGAACGAAAGATTAGGGTAAGCGGAAAGAGTACCTGGAGAAGCATATTCAAAGCAATCCCCCAGACGTCTATGCTACAGCAACTGGTCTCAGTCTGAACCCTCTTTTTTACAGCGTTCCCCGATGACAGGCGAGATTTTCTGGACTTGGTGGCGGTCAGAACGACCGTGAACTGCATCAAGGACCATGCCCAGATGCCCAGAGTCAAGTAAACCAACACAGGCTCCCGCGCTATCCTGTCTTCTTTGAAGGAATCGAAGAACTCTATAATATCAGCTGCTGTTCCAATGTAAACCAACAGCAATTGACTCAGCTGGTCACGTGTCAGTTCGCCCTTTGGTAACATCCATCTTCCAATGATCAGGATCAACATCAGAAACTGCTCTATCAAGGTCACCCAAGTTTCCGTCGATATCTGGATGTCTGGTAGGTGTATGTTCACCTGAATAACGAATACTTTTCAGTTTCTTTTAGTCAAACTGTGGGTGATTCTACTCACGCCCAAAGCTTTCTCCAAGTTCTTCAAATCCTCCGCCGCCAGGTTTGTTAAGTCTAGGTTCTCTGATATGTTGGCATTGGTCTCGAAAGCTTTCAGCCTCCTGTCGACCTTGTCCAGCTCCAAAAGCCATATCGCTGGTACCACGCTACTCAGGTAGAGGAACACCGAAGGGCAGAACCTGTTAAGCGATAAATTAAGGCAATACAAATCTCCACTGAAGATTGTACGACAAAATTAATCTATTATATACGGTGGAAGAAAATTATTCTTTTTTTTTTCAGGTGGTATATATTTCATAAAAATATTTGGAAGATTAATATCTGGTAGTGGAAGGTGTGTTCTCCGTTGCATTAATTCTCACAAGAACATCGTTCTTGAGATATCGCCGAATCCTCGACGAGAATCGATCACTCGATTTGAATGGGAAAAGGGATATTAGAAAAAGGGGGTCACTGTTACACGTAGCCTTCTTTCCGAGTGTCAATAATTTTTCGGGCCGCCTCCGACCACCTATAGTGGATTGTGTTTCTCGTCCCGCTCCTGTTACTAATGCTCCAATTTCCGTCTGTCAGACGGATGACGGTCCCACAACAACACACCCTTCCGTGCTCAGGAAAATAGGTTTGATTTACTGTGTGCTCCCCCTCGGTCTGACTTTTATTCTGTCGAATTCTGTACTTGTCCTCGCGTACAATTTTGTAGACAAGTGAAATGGATATGGTTGAACAAATATTTTACAAGATTTACAAAGATGTCTACACTAGATTTACATGAGAACTTGCCAACGATTTAAAGATTATTACAAAATTTAATATTAAGTTCCCAGATAGCACACGACGCCTTCAAGACGCCCATTTTACGGCTATTTTAGGTCCAAGGCGCCTTTAAGGCGTCATGTGATATCTAAGTATTGTCCTAGCTAAAACAATAAGTTTAAGGAATTGGAACACTTCATTTTGGGGGAAGTGTCCTTCCTTGATTTAAATTACACGTTTCTTTAAATGCATCTCTAAAGATGTATTTTCGAATATATAGGGAGATCCAAGAAACTGGAGTAAGCAATACCTGTTTTCTGATAAATCATTTGAAAAAAAAAATGTACAAATACGTATTGTATCCACCCCATTTCCCACGCAGAAAATACTTAGTCATAGGAAGATAGCCCTCTTTAGACCATTCAAAAATTTTTTTTTTTAACAATACTATTAGGGCTTACTTGTTTGTAGCAACTTGTGAAAAATAGTATTCCCGTCATTTACCATTTCCATTCTTGGTTCTCCTTTATGGTGAGCGTGAAGATGCCCTCGAAGAACAGCAGCAGGATTGGACAGCTGAGGTACCAGAAGAGAGGATTCTTCTTGAACGTGGTCACTTGCCAGATGGCTATGAAACCGTGCGAGGCGAAAACCAGTCGTGTGATGATCGCTTTGACGGTCGCTAAGAATTTTGCCATACTTCAATTTGCACTCAGTTTAATTATAAAACCTTCACTGTATAGATTTCGGTACACTTAGATGACTCAATTGTAATGAAACACGTTTAATTATTTTTACAAACAAGAAAATTATTTAAAGCTAGTTTTTATTCACGAAAATCTTATCAGGGAAAGACTTTCGTTTTACCGCGGTTCGCTGTGTCAGGACTGAAATAAAACTATCCTTAGTCCTTGGAAGGGTTTGGGATTTCAAACGGCGCACGCATGCGTGATCCAAGGTAGAACTGATACAGTTCATATTATTTCTTCTATTTTATACGGTGAAATAGATACTGTACAGTTTGGATAATATATTTAGGAATATTTTTAGGGCTTCTATGATAGAATTGAGAACTAACAAGTAACGAGCGTAGATAAATTATATTTTTATTAAACCATCTAGTAGTATAGTGTGCAATTTAACCGAAAAACTCCAAGGTATATGCAACCCGTATTACAAACTGTCGACACACCGGAAACATGCATTAATAATTGTCTTATTTTATTGTTTACTGTTAGATAATTTGCTGTGAATGGCACAAAGCTGCATACAAACTTTTTATTATATAACTAAATTATTAATATTACATTACTTTCATTGCAGTCTTAACTCCGAAAGGAGATTCTACTGATTTGCAAATTAATTCTTTGGGTTCTCACCAGCATGTATGATTGTATTATTCCAACTATGAAGGTTCATACAGTTTTAACGTAATTTTGATATAATTTTAACACAGTTTTTCAGTTAATTGTTTAAAAATCTAGTGGTTGTATTCTTCCTATACATAACTATTTAGTTGTTTTTTTTCTTGTTATTTGCTTATCTCCCTTATTGTTCGTATAATAATTTTCCAGAGTGAATTTTTCAGCTGTAGTCCACTATAATTTGAATTATAAATATTCTTATGTCTAACATATTTCTTCATAAGTTTTGCGAATGGGTGATGGACTACTGTTTTGACCATCGGTCCGGTTAGTAATGGGCGAGTTGCTTGAAGAACTGTCAATTACGATGAACGTAATGTGCATGTAGTATCAGACAGTTAAAACAGTCTCCCAGTTTATAAGTTTTGAATAGCGCCTTGTGTTTAAGACACTTTTCGTCCTCAGAGATTCCATCATGTTTAAAAGAAGACTTCAAGCGTTAGGTTATGTGGAATGGGCCAAAGTTAATGTAAATGGTTTGTTCCTTTTAATTTCTACTTCGATCAATTAATATTAGTATTAATTCATTGCACCAATTTATTTAGTTCGAAATAATATTTGGTAGATATTGTATTTTTATAAAATAATAATTTATATTTGGTCTTTCATGTATTGACTTGAAATTGAGGAACAATATTTAAATAGCCTTTGCTTTAACAGAAACTTAAAAAAAGAACGGCACAATGAATTATATATATATGTATATTTAAAATATATTACAGATCCACAGCACTTTCGTAAAATAGTAATATGGCTTGAGGATCAAAAAATACGTCAGTATGATATACAGATTCGAAAGGAACTACGTGACTTGAAGAGTGATGCCTGGCTTAAGGTTTTTGCAAAGTATTGTGCAGATGTTAATTGTCCAGTTTCGGGTGATACTTTGAATCAACTTGAGTGGCTGATTGGGCACGCGATCTGGTTGGAATCTGAGAATACCAGTAAGAATTGAATAGAAGGTTTAATTACAAAGAATCCTTGAAATATTTTGAACATGTTAAATTTTATTCTGTTTGTTTTTATATCAAATGTGTACAAAAGAAGTTATGTATAACATGTATTTAGGTGAGGATTATTCCGAAAATGTGAAAGAGATGAAACTGAAAAGGAAAAAGGAGGCAATGCTACCTCAGCTTAAGTCTAAGAATCCGTTAGACAACTTAGACTGTAAGTACAGACAAATATTAATCCATTTGCATCATACAGGGGAATAAAAAATTCAACGTAAAATTCAGATATATTGAAAAGTGTACAAAACTTAATATTTCAGTCACTCAAGCAGCTTTTTAATCAGAAAAGTGAAAATGTCTTTGCACAGCCATTACATGATGTTATGACAAAAATAGGTTAATTTTAACTTTCTAGTTGTATATTCCTAAATTTTTCTAATCCTTAGTTGAGAGCACCGAGTTCAAGAAGGGAGTGTACTCTATGGCGAAGGTACTTCGAGTTCCAGAGCTTCCAAATCATCTGATCACATTAAAGGCCTGTAGTAAATTAGTACAGAGGAGATTAAATGCAGAGTGCCTGCAAAATCCAGACTCAAAAATTCTCAAGGGCAAACCGTTCCCGGTGATGGAGATTGCTCCTGGCTTCCAGCTAAGCAATCCAGCTTTGGATAACGCAGCTAAATTACTTTCTCTCCTTTACATTCAGGATATCAGAAATCTGCAAACAAAGATCAACGAGGTGATCGTCCGTGTGCAAAACATTACCGCCAATCCTAAGACAGACACTAAGTTAGGGAAAGTAGGAAGATAAACAATCTCAGAATAAGTTTCTACTGAATGTTAAAAAATTCTGAAACAGATTGATAGAACTCTATAGGACATTGAGATGGGAGGAACACTTGGATCTGTTGATAAAACACAATCTTTAAAAGATGTTTGAAAAATGATGTATCTGTTAGTAATTTAAAATTTTGTATTACTATATGTAAATGATTGTAGTTACATCATTATGTGATTTCTCTGTGTGTATACATTACCGGTTAATTACTTAATCGTTGAGGATCATGATCAAGAAATTAGTAAATATTTGATCAAGTGTAACGGTACTTTTTATTTAACGTAAGAAGAAATCAGATATCTATAATATAACGACGATATTAACGAAAAACCCCGACCAATCACAGCGCGATTCTGCCGACCGATTAGTTACTCCAGTTATTGTCCCCTTTTCGTAGTGCGGATTTCAACCTTATCATAAGCTGTGCAGTCTATTATGTATGTCCTCTGGTACACACGTATACGTACACTGTCATCTTCACCAAGTACAAAATTTGGAGTTTAGAAAACGCGGCTGTTGTCACTGGGTCCCGTCAAGCACTCCTGGTTAACTTCATATTTGGACAGGTCTCACAACGTTATATGAAGAGCATTCGTCTTGACCAAGCACTCGGCGTGTAGCTTAAAGAACGTAGATTAATCCTTTATCATTGACAATAACAATAAACAACCAGAACACTGTTAAATTCACATTTAATTGCGGAATACCACTATTTTTTTGACCGGTGGCGCCGCCCGCGGCAATTCGCTCAAACTGCTAGCCCCATTATACCGACAGGTAAGTGAAAATTTCTAGTGATGGAAAAATGCAAATATCTCAGTAATTAAGCACTTAAAATGAACGTCATTAGTCTCAAATTGTCCCTCAGGACTTAATGCATGGACCCAATAGTGCAGAACCCCTGAATTAATCAAATTAGTTATGTTTGTATTACCGTAAACTCTTATGGGGCGACAACCTGATTGCAAAATATTTCGATCGGATTTACACTGCTAAACGGGCATGATTCTTCGTTTTGCATTAGATACAACGTTTAAAGAACGTAGATTACTATTCCCTAACAGCTGGACACTAGTAATTACAAGAACATTGTTAAAATCGCATTTGTTTGCAACGGTTGACACTGTCTCTCGTCATGCGTACCCCGGTTAGTTCACTTTGAATAGCTCTTCCAAGGTTATGTGGACAGGTTACGTCTTGATCAAGCATTGAGATTGAAGCTGAAAGAACGTAGATTAATCTCCTGTCATTGAAAATAACAATAAACAACCAGAACACTGTTAAAATCGCATTCAATTGCGGAATACCACTATTTTTTCGACCGGTGGCGCCATCCGTGGCGAATCGCTGAAACTGCTAGCGTAAAATTGGCTAGTAGTTTCACCGATTCGCCACGGGTGGCGCCACCAGTCAAAAAATATTGGTATTACGCAATGAAATGCGATTTTAACAGTGTTCTGGTTGTTTATTGTTATTTTCAATGAGAGGAGATTAATCTACGTTTTTTCAGCTATAAATCGAGTATTTTATCTAGACGAAAGTTATCCGTACAACGGTGTAAGAGCTATTCAAAGTGAACTAACCCGGGTACGCATGACGAGAGACAGTGTCAACCGTTGCAAACAAATGAGATTTTAACAATGTTCTTGTAATTACTAGTGTCCAGCCCTTAGAGAATAGTAATCTACGTTCTTTAAAGGTTGTATCTAATGCAAAACGAAGAAGAATCATGCTCGTTTAGCGGTGTAAATGGGATCTAAATATTTTGCAATCAGGTTGTCGCCCCATAAGAGGTTACGGTAATACAGGCATAACTAATTTTATTAATTCAGGGGTTCTGCACTATTGGGTCCATGCATTAAGTCCTGAGGGACAATTTGAGACTAATGACGTTCATTTTAAGTGCTTAATTACTGAGATATTTGCATTTTTCCATGACTAGAAATTTTCACTCACCTGTCGGTATTATTTGGCTAGCAGTTTGAGCGAATTGCCACGAGTGGCGCCACCGGTCGAAAAAATAATGGTATTCCGTAATTAAATGCGATTTTGATAGTGTTCTGGTTGTTTATTCTTATTTCCAATGACAGGAGATTAATCTACGTTCTTTCAGCTTCAAACTGAATGCTTGATCAAGACGTAACCTGTCCATATAACGTTGGAAGAGTTATTCAAAGTGAACTAACCGGGGTACGCATGATGAGATACAGTGCCAACCGTTGCAAATAAAGTGCGATTTTAACAGTGTTCTGGTCGTTTATTGTTATTGCCACTTACAGGAGATTAATCTACGTTCTTTCAGCTACAAGTCGAGTGCTTGGTCAAGACGAATCAGCCATTATACGGTACTAATCTACATTCTTTAAACTTCGAACGTAATGCATGACGAAGAAAAGTGTTGCCTGTTTAGTGGTTATGTAATTGCAACAGTTTTCGATCGGATTTACACTGCTAAACGAGCATCAGTTTTCCTCGTCATGGATTACATT